CCATGAATTTCAGCTTCATGGCTAGCGCCCATTCCAACACTTCCTCCACTAATTCCAAAGCTAGGACCATTTCTCCCATGCCCAGTCGCAGTATCTGCGTTCAGTACTTCTTCATCATTTGTACTACTAACGCCCATTTCAACAACACTTCTTACAGCTGGGCAAGTACTTTGTTGTGCTTGGTTACTGTAGTTCAGTTCAGAAGTCTCATTGAGATCTGTATTTCTGAAGGTTGATGTAGATGGAAAATGAACATCATCAAAATCTCCAGGGTAATTTTCAACACTTTCCATTGAATCATTACCTGGAGTATGACATACAGTGTCCATTGCAATGATGGAGGAAGCATGTGTAGAATCTCTAGTTGATGGATAACCAAATGCTAACTCAGGACCCTGATTAGAAAGATCTCTCGGAGCACCTGTTCCTATATCCATTCCCAATGGCTGGCTAGGACCAGCACCAGAAGAATATTTCCTATATGAGGAATGATGGTGTTCAACAATATCAGAGTCACGGGCACGTTTTGAAAGGCCAGCAGCATGCTGTTTACCATCATCGACTTCATCACCATCACGGTCAATGACAGTGCCTTCAATACTGTCAACATGTTGCATCAATAATGTTGGCCTATCAACTGTACTTCCACCTTCATCTAAGTTCCGCTTGCGAGAACTAGGACCACATGATTCATATGAAGCTGCACGATCCCCAACCTCGCTGCTCGAAGGCTGTCCAATCACTAAATTTCTTCCTCTAGGCGCATCTTGGTATTGTTCAGACATAACGTTCATCTGCAACCGCGAAGAGGATAACCCACCAGATATTGTAAGATTTAAATCCACCCCGATGTTTGACAATGACTTCCCTCCGTTTGTTGCAGCTTCATCATGGTCCTCTACCTGCTCCTTCTCCATCCCATCCACAGCAACCCATCCACTGATGCCACTTGCCGCACTTACTCCACGTGTTAATGCCATCTTCTTGCTAGTTTCAGGAACGTCGCTGCTATTGGAAGCAAAAGAAGCAGGACGTACAACAGTGAGGAAGTCCCAGATTCTAACTGTGGCTCCACATAAGCTGCAATCCAATAAAGGTGACCTGGACACGGATTTTGACTTGGGAGCCATAACTTCATTTATGCCATAATCTTTTTTTGTGGAAGCAAACAATTTCTTCTTGCCACGGTCAAGGTCAGACAGAAGACCCCGATTTTTTGAAGGACCAGTCGAGTATCCATTTCTGGCTGATTGAGCAGAATTCTCTTCACAGTCCTGAATATTTGGAAGCCATCTTGGTTCCCATCCACACAGGCTTATCAACTTTTGAGCCTATAATTTAAGATAAAGCTTTTAGTCATGAAATTAATATCCAATGAGTCTAGAAACAAGTAAAAAAATTAGAAAAATCATGTGTATACACGAGAGTATAAGAAGAAGATATCATCTCTGGCATTTTCAGTCCCTGATATAATCTCCAGCTTAAAGCCCAATTCATTGCCCGCAAACTGAAACTGAGATAAAAGCCGGTCAATTTCTGGACCCCGAGAAACTCGCATTTGCTCAAATGCAGAAGCAGCCACAATGGGCAGGGAAGGGAACTGCATTAGTCCATCACAACGATCCTTATAACCACCAATCAATGCTGATGGTGGAGTAGGAGGGAACTGAACCAAGCTTTCTGCACAGATATTTCCTACCCACGGACAGTTAACTTTATGCCCGCCATCTAGTTTCTGGGCGAAGTCTTCCCCAGCAATATCAGCTGTAAACAATAACCAATACATGAGAATTAAAGCTAATATGCAAACAAGCATGAAAAGAATGGAATACGAAGTACTAAGTTGAATGAAAAGATTACGATATCCAGGGAACATGACAAACTTGATAACACCAAATTAATGCCCCTGTTTGTTTCACATTATTTCAACAAGAAAATTAATTTTTTGACCCTTTTTTTCCAAAAAAGTGGAGCCCACTGTGACACAAAATGGTCCACTATTGCAGCTAATTCCCTGTTTCAACAGTAAAAATTCTGCTTAATAGAGGAAACAAACAGGACCAAAGAGCCGTCAATTGGCTGACGGCTGTAATAAGTCAACTCACACAATCTTCAAGATCACTACACAATGATATTGACTTAATTTCAGGTATTACACATAATCAAAGAATTAATGATATAAGAAAGACGTTTTTGGAGTTTGGTTGGCTTAGCTAACTGTCTTTTCATCGTATAAAAGTTTACAAAATAGGGAATATCCATGCATCAGTTCCACATCAAGTAGCCACTGAGGGTTAGTATCTCTTGGCAGCTTTTTAAAGTTTAAAACATAAACAGAAAAATGGCAAGACTTCAGCGAAAATGAATAAACCCCACAAAAAGGTCACATAAATTCTAGCTCACAGATGGCTTCCATACTTCTTGACTCATGAGAGGTTTGTTTCAGTGTTACTGATCAGTGATATTGACAGCTTGTTGAGAGGACCATAGTGGGTATGAGGTTGGAAAAAGTTCTCTTCATAAAACAGAATATAACAGAACTATTTATAGTACTCTAATAATGTTTCTGTAGCTTTGCTCTCTTCGCAGGTAATGGTAGAGGTTCCATCAGAATATTACCTTCGATGTTATCCGTCAGGTAGAATATGAATAAAAATATTTATTGGCTTTGAATTTCAGTGGATAGGACTTGAAATTAGTATTATTCACGCTTACAAGAATACAGAATTGTACGTGTCAAAAACTCCTAAAGTTTTCTATTAAAGACTCGAAAAATTAAGTAGCATGCCTAACTATGATATTATTCAAAACAAGGACTATGGTGACACAAAAACGAAAACTGTATTCACGACCTATACAATATCCTAGTCTCTAAATAAAAAGGACACCAGTAGAATATGTCTAAAATATGATCTATGGTCTGGAAAAATCTGTTTACATCACTTTGAATATACTACGTTGCATTTTTTGTGCTCGACTGACTTAAAGATTTTGCAAGTTTTCTAAAGAATGAAGTACGCATTCTAAAGCATCTTTGTCCAAAAGAAGTATCAATGAAACATTTTCCTGCGGAGTTAGATGATGTTCTGAACCAGAGACAGACAAAGTAAAAGAGGAATCAAGGGTAAATACAAAAGGCATGTCTTGAGAATAAAGAAGAGGCTTTGTGGCAAGCATTTGCTCACCGAAAATTACTTAAGTTTAGAGAATAAGAGAATGTTCTTTTAGGATTTGGACTCAACTTTGATTAGAATTAAGCTCAGACATACTTGTATAGTCCGTTTGCAACTTAATAATATGAACGCGTTGTCCCCCTTATTGTTTGTTATTGTGATGGAGGCATTCAGTAGAATGGTTG